GGCAACTCGCAGTCGAAGCTGGGATTATTGCGGGTGCTGACATTATCGCCGGCTACGTATGTACCACGCTGGCTGATTGCCAAGATTGCATAGCGGCTAAATCTCGACCGCATCGCCTTGTTGAACGCACAGTCTGCACCTGTGCCTGGCATACCTGGCCCGCCGCAGTGAACGAAGACAACCGGTGGATCACTGACGTTGGGCGGCATATGCAGCATGACCTCAAGGTCCAGAAACGGCGTCACGTCTTTGTCCTCTGGATGAGGGCTCATCGGAACCGTCAGGGTTCCCACGTGCATCCCGGAATTTTGTCCGATTAAGTCCGGGATCCAGTCCGGGAGCTTCTTCCAAATCAGCCCCGGCTTGGGATTCAGGAGCCCGCACTCTTGCGTCGGTTCTGGACTGGGGCCTGGAGTGGGGCCCGGAGGCGGGCTGGGAGTCGGGTCTGGGGCTGGGCCTGGAGCGTCGCTGGCACTGCCACAGGAGAGAAGCCTCTTGCAGCACTGGTGTCGTACTTGGCAGTGAATTGCTGCCGCATCGCAGGAAGTCACGCCTGCATCGAAGCACCACCACGGGTCATTCCCCGAGCCAGCATCCAGCTGAAGCAGCGACGAGGGAGTGGAATCGTCTCCCTCATCGCATCGTCCTTCACCGCACTGGGCTGCCCCATGGCAAAGGAGTGTGCAGAAGAGGGCCAGGCCACACCAGCACAGTGGCACGAGTGCTCACCTCGCTGAAGCTACAGCCTGATTTGCACCATGCACAGGTAAGCTCAACTGTGTGCAGAGGACACAAATCGGTCTTCTTGGGCTTCTCTGCGGAAGGAAGGCATTCAAGGCACCGCGCCTCGGTTGCGGTCTCGATGCCGTCGGCACTCTTCTCGCCGACCTGCAAGTACCTCCCGTCACAGAGCATGAAGGAGGCGATCAATTGCCAACAATGGTTGCGATGGCGATGCTTCGTCTTTCAGTGAATCCAGGCATTTCAGGCATTTTGGCACTGGCGTGCCAGCACATGGTGGTGCCGCCGGCCTCCCAAGAATTTCTCGGGCCTCAGCACATGCTGCTCATTTCGGATTTCATGCCTCAGGTTGCCCCAGGACAAGCCATGCCCACCTAGTGTGAGGGTAGAAATATCCTGGCGAATACCAAGGAACCCGCCAGCTCCCAATACCTGCCTTAAATTTTCCCCTGCCTAGTCCTACATGGCCCAAGGGTCTCTGCCTACCTTAGCCGCTCTTAGCCTCAAGCCAGGTCCAGGCTCAGCTCTTTGCCTTCTGAACCCTTTGGCCGAGGTGCGCGTGCGTTCGGGATACGCTCCAGGCGCGGAGCTGCAAACACGCCGGCCCTGCCCACCAAGCTTTGGGGCTTCCCCACGGAACTTAGGTGCAAACTGTCAAGGCAGTGTCTAGGCAGAGCGGGTTGATCAGGGTCCAGGCTGTGGAGTCCAGACTTTCCGTGTCTAGATGAAGCCTGTTGAACGGAATCCAACCGGTTCGCTTCGTAGGGAGAATCGGCTACACAACGTCTGCATGGTCGGACCTCCCAGCTCATGTGCTGGTAAGCAGCTAAACAGTCTAGTCTACATGCAATTTAGGGGGTTGTGACTTTGGCTGGGGTCGAGAGCGAGAGAGAGAGGGAGAGCAAGAGAGAAGGATGAGTAAGCCTGAGTAAGCGGGTGCGCGAGTGAGTCAGTAGGTGAATACTTTGATGTCATTTGTCGGGCAGGGGTGAGAAGGCGAGTTGGCGACGGATAAGGGGTGAGTCAGCAGGTGCATGCACAAGTCTCAAGGTGATAAGGCACTTCGTTCTGTTTGAGCAATGAGCTCTACTGCAAAAGGGATGCTCTGTGTTGACAGCCACCAAGATCGCTGCGGTGTATTTCCACAAAGCCGAAACCCTGAACCTGCATCCTCGAAAGCCCATCTCCTGCCTTCGGAAGAAAGCATAGGAGGTTGTTCCTGGCATGGTTGCAGGATTGAGCTTCAGAGGGAGTTCTGGAGGCGTGCATTCCCAAACAAGCTTCCCTGTTGGGTCCGCAGTTTGCGCAAGGCAACCAACAGCACTAGCTGGCACAAACAACGCCCGAGTTGCATGTGCAGAAGAAATCTCGCTACACCCCCTGACGAGATCCTTCCTTGAGTTGCGCCAGGAATTCCCTCGAACCCCGGAAGCCTCTCGAGTTAATAGCTTGAAGGGTAGGCCTCGGAGGATCCGGCTTTTGCATCTCCTTCCGGGAGCCTTCCTGCCTAGCAGCCCTTTCCTCCCTTTTGCGGAGCTGAATACCGTGGTCTAAAGGACTGATCAAGTATCTACTTCGGTGCCCACGGCACTTCGATTTTAGGGCTTGAGAGCCTCTTCCGTACCACTCTGAAGTCTGTGTAGGCACCGCTTGCAATCATGCTGCGACTAGACATGACAGGAAGCATAAACTAGCAACTGGAAAACCTCCAATAATTAGAGCTGCGCAGGCTTGGGACATGGAGCTCCGACTAAATGGCTACACATGAGGTTTGCACACAAAATTTCACGGTTCAGGGTTGAACACTCAGCATCAATTGGGGGTTCCGGGCTAGCTGAGATTTTAGGGGGGGGCTCGAATCAAAGCTCGCAGCTTTCCATTCCATTGCGACCCTGCCGTCCCGAGCCTATCCATGCATCGACCAGGATCTGCAAGAGCCTCGGCTAAACCTAAACCCTGACCCTCACGGTTCAAAAAAGGAATTTTGTAGGCATTGGTTCCCTTAGCTCCGGTGGAGCCGATGTTGTAGAGAGCATGGCGTATCTGTGTTCGGTGACTGTGTGAATTTAGCTACAAGCAAAGCCTTCAGAGGACCGGAAAGAGAAGGAGTTCTGTAGGGGAGCAAGCATCCCGATGCAAGTGCAGGAAGTCTAAGCACAGATTACTAGTGCAAATCATGTGTTTGGAATGAACCGGCTTTGCACTGAGGACAGCTTTCTGGCGCCTGCCTCATATCTTCGCATGTTCCTCAGCACCGCTTTTTGGAGTTACCTGCCTAAAGCACAAAATACTAGCGGCGTCAACAAGCAGCCCGAAGATGATAGAGTTGAGGAGATCTGCACGGACAGTCTAGCCAGTCCGGTGGGTGATCATGCTACGAATTCATGACAGGTGACAAGGCGGACGAAAACCAATCGAGCTAACATAATACAAGACTACGTCGAGCAATACATGGTGCCTCGTGCTGCCGTGGCACTTCAAGCCCTACAGGGCGTAAGCCCTAAACGAACTGAAGCCTGCAACCCTCCTGCTCAACCCGACCTCAAACCGCAAAGCATCGAAGCCGGGCTCCGGGCCCCATGGCATCGGAGCTGCGAAGTGGTGGGCGCTGTGTGCTGTCGGAAGTAAGGCTCTCGGACTCTAGCGCCAGTGCAGTCTCTCTTGTGGGAATGGTGCAGGGCAGGCATCGGTGGGCTCTGTAGCATTGGACTACGAGGCGCTGGCATTCTGCGGGCGAACCTGGAGGGGCAGTTACGAGCAACTTGCTTGCATAAGGGTCCCAAGTACAACCACAATCAGGAGACTTGGGGGCGGTGGTGCGTCGGCCGTGGCTCTATAAGTATACTTCGTGTAGAAGCAATGAACCCCCTTCCAGTCTCAGGCTTCGGGGGTTTGATGGTCGGTTATCTTGCTTGTGCTAGCTGGCTCTGATCACATCGGCCCGGCGGGTGAAGCCCAGGGATCAGGCAAAAAGGAACTCGAAGTTCCAAATCCCACAGTACCCCTTTTTTGCGCATGACGAGAGGTTCATGCCATCTGAAGTGTTTGGCGATTCTAGTATTGAAAAGACACCGAAGGCCGAGACCCTGAATGACCAAACGCCTAAACGACCTCCGTCCCATGGCTTTCTGCCGCCTTTCGAATGCTGACTCCGCTCGCTCTCGAACATGAAGAGCACTGATTCGAAGGCACAACTTGTGTGGAACCTTCTGCAATTCGACACTGAGGCGCATTTGCGCCGGCTGGCTGCTTTGCACCATAGGTGGGTGTGAGACTAGTCTCGTCTGCCGAGGAACTTTGCTGCCCTCTCATGGGAGCCCCCAACAGCTCCCAAACATAAACTTGTTCTTTCAATGTCCCTGCAAGGGGGTAGGCTTCAATAGTTTCTGCTATATCACTGGCATGCTATCCATCCGCTTCTGCATCGGTCGGGTGAGGCTTGGCGGACCAGGGACTTTTAGGGTTTAGGGTCCTCAACCCTAAGCGGTACATCGCTTGTGCTAGACCAACCACAGCAGTGCCCAGCGCTGTCTACTTTGCTGCTTGTGAACGCCTGCAGGGAGCTTTCACCCTGCTGGAAAAAGCCGGGTCGTCCCGTCTGCCGCTTTCTGATGCTGTGTAGATACTCCTAGTATGCATTGTATGTATTATATACTCCAGATATCTGCGTTCTATGTGAAGATGCATACGCACATGTACATACGAATGTACATAGATGGAATAAGCATGTGTGAATATGCATATGCATCAGGTAGGTAGGTAGGTAGGTAGGTAGGTAGGTAGGTAGGTAGGTAGGCAGGCAGGCAGGCAGGTGCGCAGGTAGATCGCATCGTACGTGCTGGTTCTGTTTTAGGACAGTCTATCTCACGGTCGCTCCGGTTCTCAGGATTTGTGGATTCGAGTGGTTAGGCCGGTGTCACTATAATGCTGATGCTACCATTACAAAGCATGTTTAGAACGGCCTAGGATGGTGTCTTGGGTATGCTAGTTATCACTACTTGCAGAAAGGTGTGGACGGTGCTTTTGGAATGCGGATCTCTGGGACGTCAACCCGAAACCTGCGCTGGCCGCTGCTTTCGAAACTAAGTCTGCTAGGGAGTGTCGATGCCTTAAGCCCTATAAGCCTTGTTACGCCATGAACCCGTCGTAGCATGGCTCGAGCCTAGGACTTCGAAGCACTCCGCCTTCTGCTCCCGCCCCCAGGCGTCGTGGCCATTGGAGAGGTGCGCGGCCTCGGAGGATTCAGGCGGAGCCTTGGAAAATTGAGATGGATATGTTAAGGTCTTGGTGTGCTCGTCTTTGATGTCGGAATGTGGTTTGCGTGGGGTTTCGGCCCAGGCTTAGCATGGATCTCGCAGGCGGTCTTTGAAGTCCGAAGTTACCGAACTGCTTCAAGCAAGATCATTGAGTGAAGGAGCCCGACGAAAGACAGCCCACTTTCACATTCTGGGATACGTCACGTCCAAAACATCTACCTTGCATGGCCTATGCTGACCGTGAAGCCTGCAGAAGAGAGTCTGCAACGCTGTCGGCAGACCCGTGCTTGCGAGGATACTAAACGCTACACTTGACTGTAAAATCGAAACTCGGTGATTCCCGCAGCACCGGAAGCAGGCACGAGCATCGAAGCTAGCAGGCAGCCCACTTCCTTTCAGCGCACCACCCACGTCCGACAAGAACATACTTATTGCACATCGCAAGATGTGTTGCAGCCTCTATTACCGAACATGCCGCACCTCAAGCCTACCAACAGAGGTTGAACTCTCTCTACCTGAAACCATGTACTGGACCTTTTCCTTTTGCTAACGAACCGCACCATGTATGTTGAAGACATCCCCTGCTGCGAGGCCACTCTACATTCAGTAGAGGGTCCAGGCATGATGTCTCGTCTCAGAACGCTGCTCGATGCCATCCAGCCTGTCAGGCTTCGGTTTGACTCAAATGGATATCACTGCTGTCGCGGCGACTGTCATATCTTCACTTCATCTTCACCACACATGGTGGCGATATGGGTCCGGGAGAGGCTGCTGCTGCTGCCTCTGCAGCTCCCGACAACGCTGCGGATTATGATGATGATGATGATCGCGATAATGGTGATGGTGGTGGTGATGATGACGAAAATTTGCGTGAGGATGACTTCGATGACCATGACGAGCATGATGTCAACTCTGCACTTGATGCTGAATAGCAGATGTGTACTCGTCTAGAAAAGATCTATTGAATCTTATGTCCGAAGAGGACAAAGCCCGTCCATGTGGCCTACGCCACACCAGCTTCGCCAGCACCGACAACAGATTTGGAGTCTAGGCTTAGGGCCTAGCGGTCATGGTTTTTCGGGTTAAGGGCAAAAACTCCTTTAAGTTTCGTAAGCGCCTGCAGGTCTCAACGTTTAGGGTTTTGGACAAAAGTCTGGGGCTTACGGGGTACGGGTGCCACTGTTGAAGATTGTGTATAGTAGTATAGTGCATATAGACTCAGCAAGCGTGGTCCTCAATGAATCCGCCGTCCGCAGCGAGTCGACGCTGTTCGGCCGGCTAGTACTCCCCGACCTAGGACTTCAATGTTGGTAAAGAAGGCCTTGGCTGGCCGTTACGGTCGGGCACCGTCTGTCTATCTATCTATCTATCTATCTATCTATCAGACACACACACACACACACGTACGCCGGATGCGGGGAGTAACATGAACCCGTTTGGGGCGTGCCGGAAACCATTTCTGCGGGTCGTAATGGGAACGAGGGCTAGTAGAAACAGGAACCGCGCAGGGATTGTAACAGGAACTGTCCCCGGAAAGCCAAGCAACGAAACTACGCGGGAACCCTTGTGTGGGGAACCGGTTTCGGCCCCCCTACTTGACACCATGAAGCCTTATGCTGACGCCCATGTTTCGAGGCATGTACAGTTTGGGGTTGAAACAGATTCACGGTTCGGGATATAGGATGCCAATGGCGATACACCTTGTCTCTGAAGCCGCAAGTTGCTTCTTCATGTTGTTTTTGTCGAAGGAATATGTATGCTTTATCTTACAAGGAGGTTCGTGCGAATACAAGTCGAAGTTGTCGTACTACGAGTACTACTGCTATTGGTGGCGGGGCTCGGCAAGGCTTTCGCACGCTATCGTGGACTGACACGCGCCAGCTTGGCTTGAAATCTGATTTGAGGGTTTAGGCTTGCGGGGTTTAGGTCACTGCTGCTGTAGAGGTATTTAGGAGGTTTAGGGCCAGGGGTTCAGGGGTTTAGTGCTTTAGGCGTTCAGGGTTGACGGGTCAGGTGCAAGGGTTCAGGCATTTGCCAATCGAGAACGGCTTTAAACGCTCGAGAACGGCTTTGGTGGTTTGGGGTTTCGGCCAGCTCTTAGCACCACAATTGACGAGACTACACACAAGAGCCTTCGTCACACGATCGCGCACACCAGTCAGGAAATTTTCCGTTTAACTAGCCACAGACACATGCAATGTTTGTCTGGAGGGTTAATGGCAACACCGATGCTGTAGCCATCGGGAATTCAGGACAAAGGTTGCTGTGGACATGTGAGGTCAGTTTCTAGTGCTACATGACATGACGTCTTGAAGCCGTATAAGTGGGGGACTGGAAAGCGGTCCCTGCGTTGGCGAGCCCACAAGAGCCGGTGGATGTGAAACAAGTCATTCTCTGCACTGGTTCCCGTTACGAGGGGCGGCCAGGGGGTTTTACAGGAACTGGTGGTTGCAGTTACGGGATCGGTGCCCGTTCCTGTTGCGGGTTCCCGTTACGGACATCCTGTTACCGTTATGGCAAACACTCCACATACGACATGCGCCATATGGTTCTATTCTTCCGCAATAAATCCTTTTATACAATATTTTTCGGATGTGTTTTGAGATCTGCATGCAAGGCTTTGGAAAGCCAGAAGAAACGGGTCGTACTGGACAACAAATGCAGTTCTACGAAACCTGTTGACATCTTTAGCTTTCAATGGAAAACCATCCAGATTCTCCGTGGACAAAGTCTTGTAAAGTTACCAACCTGACAGGTCGCGAGCGCACTCCACGCAACAAGGGTTAAGGCCCAAGATTGTCAGCGAGAGGGCGGAGAGCCGGCCCGCGCGTGAAAGCAGTGGCGCAACAGCATGCCTAATGCTAAACCAGCGCAAAACGCTGAATAGAACGTTGATTTGCTTCGTTTTGATTTCGCATAGACCCGTAACAGCACCACAACATCAAGTCGAGAGAGGACCGGGCTGACGGCGGCTTTCAAGAACGCTGAGCCGCTGTGTTGGCCTCAGGCAAAGAAGTGCCGCGAGCAAACCAAGCACGAACCCTCAGCCTTGAATGATTGGCCTAACCTGAAACTCGTAAACCCAAAAAAGCCGTGAATGATGGACCTAAACCGAAAATCCGAAGCCCCAAACCACGAGGTCCTACCTACGTAAACGAAGCCCCAAACCACGACGTCCTACCTACGTAAACGACGTCAGGCCTTGGCCCTAGGCAAGCTCTCAGAGGGCTCGGCATTGCTACACGGTTAAGGCTGAATGTATAATGTGTTATCTGTCCTTACTTTAAGAGCCGCGACATGCCAAAACCCACAAGACCTTTTTGAGCTCATACAAAGCCTTCCGGAATCCAACTTGTTTCTTTTGTGAACGTACCACGAGGTTCCGAATTAACAACAACAGCCGATTGTACACGCCCGATTGTACGTAGAGCCGAAGCAGCTCATGCGTCACATCGTACCCTGGTGCCATGAAGCATCGAGGATCTGCTACTCCTCCACTGGGCTAAACCGAAGCTCGAAAGAGCTTTCTTTCTGCAAGGTGCTTGAGGTGCTTCGTCAGCAGCGACGCGTGCTCCTTGAATACAGCGGGAGTCTAGGACCCGAAGTGCAGAAGTGAATCATGTCTTTATGTTTGTCTTTCCCCTCAAACCGTAGACCTGAACTGTAGCTATGACAGGAAATAATAATGATAATAATAATAGTAATAATAATGATAATAATACTAATAATAGTAGTAGTTATAAAAATGAGGAGCTCTGGCATGAGGACAGGCGTCTCGGTTCAGCCTTAATCACGGAGCTCCAGCACAGGAAAGCCCCAAAAGCTTCACTGAACCATCAAGCTGAGAGCCTAGCCGAGTTCAGCAAGGTACCGCAGTATAGGCGTAAGTATATGTACACTTCTAGTAGGGTATCGCGAAGTATCGTACAGCATACGTAGTATCCCGAAAATGGAAGAGAGTATATCGTATGTAGTATAGCAGAGTATCGCATAGCAGAGTGGTGCTGATTCTGGTATAGCATGACCCCTTCCGACAGATCAGTCCTCTGCCATCTCACGAGCATCTTTGACCTGCGGAAGCAGCCGAGCCACTCTTAACGGCTTCAGGTTCAGCTGGGTGCAGTAGCCCTTGCAGCAACCTTGAGTTCTAACCCTAATAGCAGTTCTGGGTCAGGGTAGTCTTCAAGGGTCAGGGCTAAGAAAACCAAAGGGAGACCATCGCGAACATGCAACTTTTGAGTGGAACGTTTATGAAGTGCTCAAAGCTTGTACAGGATGTCATAATACTGCTCTCCATTACTAGTCCTGCAGCCTGTTCTTTCTCAACCGGCACCGGAACCTCTCACCCCGCTAGCCTAAACCTTCCAACCCGAAGCCTTTAAACCATAAGCCCTCAAGTCCAAACCCCCTAGACCCTAAATCATCATGGAGCTTGAGGCCGTAGGCCCTTGGACCTATAGCTGAGCCCTAAGAGCTTGCTTGCACAGATTCAATTCAAAAAAAACATGAATGCCCGTTGTTTGGGGCTTAGTTTGACCGGTGTTTGTTTTACGTTCTTTGTGTTTCGAGCTTAGGGTTTAGGGCTCTAGGGCACCATTAGATGTCCACGAACTAGCAGGAGCAACGGCCCACGCAAGAAAATACGGGTGGAGATCGACGGGCCCGCCTCGTACATCAGGTCATGCCCAACGCTGAACTTGAAATGCATCACCTGGTGGGAGGGTTGGGTCCTAGAGGTTGGCCGGTATGGCTCTGCGGTGTGGTCCCTGTCGTGGTGTGTCAAAGGGCATGACGATCAAACTTGACGCTGGAGGCGATGTTCAATGGCTCCGATAAGGGGATGGGTACCTTTTCCAGGTTCGTAGAAAACCCTAGCATAGACTCTATAAGCGCAACCTCCACATGCCACCAGAAGGCACCCCAGACCCCACGCCCCCGTCAGCGAGAATGATCCGCAAGCCCGAACCTTTTTGAAGCCATTTGGGAAATCGGGAAATCCTTGGCTTCCTTCAGCCCAACGAACTCCTGAAAGGCCCGGTCCTGGGTATGGTATTGAATGACGGTAGGCCGGTGTGCCACGCTGAGAAAGCCGATCTTCTTCTTCCTGTCCAGGGGGATTTCGTGTCTCAGGGCCGTTGCATCGACTTTGGAGCAGGGACGCTTGCATGTTGATGCGGCTAGGGTCGATGAGTTCGGAGTTTGGGGTAGTGTTAGAGATTCGCTTCAGTTGGTTGAGGCTAGGCTGGGCATCTAGGCTGCTGGGAAACGGAAACTTCGACCCGAATAATGTCAATCTTTTCCGACTGCTGTTCCTTTACCGGCCGCATGACGGGTGCAGTATAACAGATCCTGATCAGCATCAGGTCTTAGGTCTTCTGTAATGAGAATAGCATAGCATAGTGAGTATTTTCATGAAAGTCCATGAAGATCTGGCAGACAGATCAGGAAGCATCAAGCTGAGGACACTAAACTCCCGAGGCGCACCATCAACTGGAGTAGAATACAACCTAAACCAAACGTACCAACCCTCAGCGCTCAATTGCTCGATGCCGTGAATCTCAAACCCAAACCCCCGACATTGGCATACAACTCAGAATCGCTGAGACTTTCGCATGATGATGGTAGAATTACCGACATATGGACCGACATCACAGGAGAAACTGCGGCACAGCAGAAAATGATCACACATCTCACGATTTCAGCTCTAAACCTTGCCCTACTGACAGCCTCAGGGCTTGATAGACCTTCATCTCCTGCGCGCCGGCTTCGGGTCGAGGGTTTCTGGTGAAAGCGTATCACCGAGCATCTAGTGGTGCGTCTTTTCGCAGTAGTGGCATCAACGACGTATAACTCTACTTGTATAGCCTCTAATGATCAAAAGTCGGGACTTGTCTTATCAGGTTTTACCATCCCTTGATGGTGGTGGCGGTGGTGGTGGTAGTGTTACTGGTGGTGGCGGGGTGGGGGTGGTGGTCGGTTCGGCGTCTGCCATGGTGATCGCGGCGCCTCCTCCACGATACTGCCAGTAACTATTGATAATGGGTATGTTCAGTATCACTGTCACTACGCAACTGATCTCCAAACCTAGGACCCCCCCAGACCATAAGAACTTGCGCATGTGAATGACTAACACAGCTTCCGAACCTAACGGAAGCAAAATGTAGACCCCGGCATTATCTGATCCATACTGCATGCACCTCATCTGAACACTGCCTACTTTGCGGACTCCCCCCCAAGCCCCAAATAGTAACCCCACTAAGCTGAACATGAAAGCCCGAAGGCTCTGAACCCAAAGATCGACACTTCCTCAATCCGAACTAACATGCCGAACCCAACTACCAAAAACACGGAACCCACAAAAACCCATAAGTTCCCATAACTTTCGGACCAGGCGGCCGAGGCCGTGTCCATGGAGGCCGTCGACTCATCGAGGATGGCGAAGAATCCGTAGGCCAGGTCGCCGTGCCTTGCGTTTTTCTGGGAACCTGATTAAGAAACCTTGGGTCTTATTGGGGTTCTTCATATGAACCCTATAATATATTCGGGTTATAGGGCCCAGGTTTCTGAATCAGGTTCCTGCATTAGGGGGTGTTCGTGCGCTTTGGCTCTTGTACTAGCATTGCTTCTATAAGAGTAGTTAAAGAGCTCTAAGGTACATAGGGGATTCGGTGATTCGTCATTGTTCACATGTGTCTTTAAGGGTTTGGGCTTCAGGAGTCTACTTAGGACTCTAAGGGCTTGGGAGTTAAGAGCTTTTGGGTGCTGCTTCTTCTTCTATTTCTCTGCTAGAGCGGGTGAGTCAGAGAGTCTTGCGAGAGAGCCTTGTTGTGGCCAAAAACCTTTTTGACAGGCCTTGGGGGATGTGTTCTAGAGCTGAGGCTTTCCCTCTTAACTTTGAACCGTGGCTGAGGAACAACAGCCACTCCTGCGTGACCACGATAACGGACTTTTCGACTGCACTGTTTTTTCGCATGCGCCTAACTGGCTGAACACCTGCCAACTACACGACACCCATGTTGATGAGACCCTGCGGCGCAAACAGCTCCTCCTCAAGGCATGAAGCAGCCCTCTGCTCAGCTGCGTGCGTACGATGCCACTCGGCATGCCAAAAGAGCCTGGCCACCGTTGCGACTCTGCTTTAGCATGATTTGGACTGGTTCTGATGCTGCCTGCACGTCATCATCACCACCATCACTGTGAAAGCATCACCGCCATCCACCACCAGCTGCAGCCGCTGCTGGGCCTGCTCGGACTTGAACCCTATCGGACTTGAACACTGAAGGCGGACCCTTGCACTTCAAATGGCTACAGACTATAAAGTCTAAGTAAACCCCTTGCTACCCAGACCGGAGATCCGGACCGTGCCTGCAGAATTGGATGCGCTGCTGTTCGCCCAGGCTTAGCACCTCAGGGTGCGTTGCCTCACAAACTCCCCGTAGCTTCTAGCTCCCATCTTAACAGGTATTAGTGGCCTCGGGATCTGCAAGCTTTTGGCCGAGGGGCGACAAGAATCTAGAGTAGGCTGGGTGCTTGCGTAGAGTTAAGGGCGGAGGGCGGAGGACGGAGTTGGAGTGTGCAGAATGTCAGCTTCATTGGGGTGGCTTCTTTGGACCCTCCCCAGTCACAGTCTAAGCCTAAGCTTTTGTGCCGAAGCTTCGAGATGCTTCGGTTGAATTCAACAGATCCCTGTGATGGCCCGAGCTTGTGTGAGCTCCTGTTCTTGACTCAAAAACATCCCATCCAAACCCCAAGCCTGAATCAGGGAACCCAGGCATGCAAACCCCAAATCCGAGCAAGCAGGCTGCTCGGCTTTGTTCCAAGCATATCCAGGGCAGCCAGCTTGAGGAGCGAGCGCAACCACCACAATTATTCGGAGTACCGTCGTTGTTTGGAGTGTGCCAACAACTTGGGGATAGTCAGTGTTGACGGTGAACATCGTCTACATCTATATAGCCGGCATCTCCTAAAACTTTAGGATGCAAACCACTCGCCCAATACTGGTAAAACTCATGGACTCTCTTCAACCCCCTCCCCCTTCCCGACCATAACGCCCAAACCTGAAGGCCCACTAGTCCTAAGGTAACAAGCCCCAAAACTTCAAACCTAAAACCCTGAACCCTAAACTCTGAACCCCAAACCCTAGCCCCTGAAGCCCAAATAAACCCCCAAAGCCTCCACCCGGCCATCTGAGCGCACGGCATCGGACCAGTGAATGCCTCGGGTGTCGACCTCCTCCTTCCGGGCACTCCAGACCTGCTAGGGTTTAGGGGTTTCATGAGGATTTAGGGTGAAGGTTTTCGGGTTTACGGTTAAGGTACGGTTAAGGTTTAGGGTTTAGGCTGCATCAGGCTGTTCTCGTGCTTGGGGTTTTGGGCAGGATCTTTGGCGGGCGAAAGAAAGCTCATGAGCTTCGGGACTGTCGGTGTCTACGGCTTTGCCTCCAAGTCTGTGAAGTCTGGGGCTGAACCGGCTAATTAGAGCCGGTTCGGGAGTTGCAGGCTGCAAGGTGCCTCAAAGGCATAACAGATGAAGGATTGTACTTACTTTCCGTCTAATTGTCCAAGTCCAGGAGATTTCGGGATTTTTTTTGTACGGTCTGGGTTCTCAGAATGCATGAGCACACTGAGCCCGACAAAAACAAAACTACTCTGCTCCGATGCCGCGAAACCCAATTTCCGCAAGAACCCAGGCCCAGCATTGCACCAACATCTATGAGAAGTTGTAATCGGGCGCCCAGTCCAAAAATGCCGCGCACCAACCTGGAATCCGAAATGAACCCTAACCCCTAAACCCCTATACCCTAAACCCCTAAAACCCTTAAACCCCAAACCCCTAAACCCCTAAACCCTAAACCCCTAAAGCCCTAAACCCCTAAACCCTTTTGAAGCTGAAGACAGGTTCCGAACGCTCCGACACAATACAAGTAGCCGACTTTTTGCTGCTAGCCCAAGGCGCCTGCAGTAAGCATGGTAATCAAAGCTACATCCTAGCACTGAAGCTATACAAGTGCTGCTACCAACGCAAGCTAACACGGAGCCCTAAAGCAACCGACAATCGACAGGGTTGTTTCACACCCGTCTTATCTGTCGTGTAGCTGAGTATGGTAGCTGCAGGACGTAAAAAAGACCAACGTGCTTATACACGTGATTGGGTTGCCGTGCCAAATGGGCGAATTACTCGCCGGCATCATCAGGAAGCTCAGTGTGCTCCTCCGAGCGGTGTCGGAGTCTTGCAGGCGCATCCTGGACATTCGTGTCAACAGGATCTGCTGGCGGTTCTTGCGGGGATCCCGCTGGACTCACCCTCGGTGGGGTGGCCATCGCCATCACCTGCCAAATCGGACCTAAGCCGAAATGCTCTATGTCCTGGATACTCTGCAGTGCCAGCGCGCTTTGGTGCCCATTTGCGAGGGCTCTGACTGCGCGCACTTGCGTTCGCACTCATACGCAAGTCTTTGAGCAGCTCCCGCTTCTGCTTTTCGCGGTGCTGCAACATGCGTGGTAGGCTGAGGCGCTGCCGGCGTATATGTAACTGCCGCTTTTGGTCTCTGCAGGGGAGCTATGTCCCCACTGCTGAGTCCTGCAACGGACATGGCTCTCCTGGGCTGCTTTACGACAAGCTAGGGGCACTACCCTACAATACAGTACAACAGTTAGACGAGGTGAGACGTGTGTCGTGGTTCACCAGCTCCGCTACCAATTTGAAGCTGAAGACAGGTTCCGAACGCTCCGACACAATACAAGTAGCCGACTTTTTGCTGCTAGCCCAAGGCGCCTGCAGTAAGCATGGTAATCAAAGCTACATCCTAGCACTGAAGCTATACAAGTGCTGCTACCAACGCAAGCTAACACGGAGCCCTAAAGCAACCGACAATCGACAGGGTTGTTTCACAACCCTAAACCCCTAAACCCCTAAATGGCCCTGAAAGCCTCGCTCAAGTTGGCTTCCGCGAAGAGGCGCGCCATGTTTGCATCGTTGAGCCTTGCAGCGAGTTCAGCTGGGATAGGGTTTAGGGTTTAGGGTTTAGGGGTTTAGGGTTTAGGGGTTTAGGGGTTAGGGGTTTAGGGGTTTAGGGGTTTAGGGTTTAGGGGGAGTCTGGGTAAAAGCCAGGAAAGGGAGGTCCTAAAAAGGGACCTTACTCATCAGAGTAGGGTTAAGGGGGGTATATGATACCATAAGCATGAGAAGGAACCCCCAAATTAAGTCTAGGCCCTGAGAGTCTGCAGGATGGGGTGATCTGAGATTCCGGTTCTGGGGATCAGGGTCCCCCCCTTCGGAGCAGAATCTCGGGATGCATGGGCTCAGGGTCTGGGCTTCTTTGGGATTCTTGGGAGCTGGGCCCTTGTCCGAAGAGCCCCGGCATGCGACACATCCCCGGAGCCTGGAGCCCATGGCACTCGACTGTGCTCTACAAAGCTTACGCTACCGACTGGTAGGTCGTAAGCACGGAACACGAAGTAGGCTCCAACAGCCATCGTCCGTAAACCCGAAGCCATGCACCTCTGTAAGTCTCATAAACCAAAGCTTAAACTCTGAAACACTGCATGCGCCCTAAGTTTTGAGACGTGCTGGTGCTCTCCGAGGTCGAAGCTCTGTCAGCAGGGACGCATCCCACACCTGGGTCCAAAGACAGCCGCCGACTGCTTGCCTTTGGGGTTGTCCCCAACTGACAAAGAGCTGACAGTTGGGCGTGGGCTTGAGGTTTACAGGGTATACGGCGTATACGGCATAAGATTTAGGGTAATATCCTCGGTCAACTGGGCGACTGGCCGGGTACGCAATCTGTTCCCGCAAGGTGCCGTCGAACAGGTAGGGCCTGCTGCATCGACTGGAAGGTTATGGCTTCGGGTGGCTTAGCCGCGAGGCCTATCGACGATCTCGTATGGTCGTATTCCGTGGATTACCGGTCAAGTTGCACGGATACCAGACTTTGGTTTTCGGGCTTTGAGTTTGGATCGAGCGCCGGTAACTGCAAGGTTACGGTGAAAACGTTGCATCCTCAAACTGCAGGCGGTCGGGAGAAGTGACACGAGAAACTAGATACTCAAGCTGGCTAGTGGCGACCTTCCGGGTGTAGGGGCTCGGGACCTCAGGTCCACGGATTGTTGGACTTGAGGTTGGGCATGGTAACTGGATCTGCTGCTTTTGGGCTTAGAATGGTGTATCGGCTGCGCGAGTCGAGTAACCAACCCGATGGTGCGCTTTTCTACAAAGCCGGATGGACGACTGCTGAGCAAAAGAGGCGCTGGCTAGGCTCACAAGCGCTGCGCTTCAGAAGATAGGCTGCTGTAAACATCCCTTCTAGTAGTTAGTAGTCTTGCACGATGCTTATTTGCCTGCGGATAGGGTCCACCTCGGCCATGGATCCCAGCGGAAGGAAATTCTGAGGGTCGGTGTGGCCGAAATCCATATCGAAGACCACCGGAAAAGGAATCTCTGCCAGTTCCTGTAATTCCTCATCAACGACATGTTCCTTCAACGCCCGCAGAATCGCGGCCTTCTGGGTTTCGGCATAAGTCGCCTTGCCTCCGATGGGCTCCTTGCCCAGGAACTCCGTCTTCGGCCTTCCGACGAGCAAGGCAGCTACCCTCCGAAGGAAGAGGCGGCGCTGGCCCAGGGCCTGCACGAATCCGTAAACCAGGGAATCCGGTGGCATGACTTCGGAGGTCTCAAGGAACAGAACTAGCCTGCCATGAGACTCGTCGGGCAGAACGAAATCTAATCCCGATGCCAGGAGCATGAACAAAGTCTCCAAGCAGCCACCCCACAAAACGCCCTTGGCTGTTTGATCCAGCTTACCTTGCCAATCCCAGAGGGGAGCAGGAAGCGAGACCAAGGATTTGTCGGCATCCGTGCTCCAGTCTGGATAGTCGACAACGTAGGTCGGCGACTCAAGCAACTGGAAAGGACCCTTCTCATGGGTGGCCGCGATGAAGGACGTTCGAGTCAAGGAGTGCATACCACCCAGCAGGCCAAACTGGCAGAGAAGGTTTCCACCGTAGTAGGACATGATGCCCAGAGAGAAAAGCAATAGGTGCAGGTTCGTGATGTCACTGTAGCCGAGAACGACCTTGGGGTTCTCGCTTATGACCTTCCTATCCAGAAACGGCACCACACGCACGAGGTCATCTCCTCCGATGGCACAAACGATGCCTTCCACCTCGGAGTCCGCGAAGAGCCTGTTAAGCTCGGCTGCGCGCTGGCGCGGGGGAGTCTCGACACTGTACATGGACTCTGCGAGCACGACTGTAAACTCGAAGCTCGTGCGCAAGACCTCGATCGCACGGTCTCGGACATGAGGGAATACTGCAGCGGTCCCAGCAGATGGTGCCGTTACGGCCACTTTGGACCCCGGGGAGAGGCGAGGAGGGAGGCGCATCGGCAAGCACAAGCTTTTAGTGAACTCGGCCCTTGTGAGACGAGCTGCGGCACATGGAACCTTGAACATGCCAGCAATGCCAGCACGACACTAAAGAAAGAAACCTGCGACCTGGTCGTGCGCAGTGCGCTTTTCAAAAACAATCAACACCCGTATCACCCTCACCCTCTCCTGCTGTGCTCCGCCTGCCACAACGACTTTTTTGGGAGGATTCAAGTTTACGGGTGTGTTGCCTAACCTAAACTTAACCCTAAACTTCTAGACGCCCCCTAGACCTCGAACCTTCAAGGCCTTATTGTAAGTAACCGCCATGCGAGATCTCAGCTCCAGCTCTTGGGAAACTCCTTCCAATAGCTGGAAAGCTTCCGGTTATCGAGCCTTTCCCAAGCCTCCGCGACCTCCAGTATTCTGAGGATTTCTGAGGATGAGGGACTCTGTCTCTGTCTGTGTGTGTGTGTGTGCATGTGTGTCTCCGCCTAGACCCTTTTAGTACTTCCGCCGAGGGGGCGTACCTCTGCGCAAGGAAGAACAGGTTCCGTGCCGGCGGCCTCTTCAAAAGACATGTCCGATTTCCCGCCAGGGTGTAAAAGTCTTGTTGTGACAGCAACCACCAACAATCATCATCACTATCATGATGGTGCTGTCCCAAACTTTTGGCAAATGAGACAACAATGTCAAGCCTGCGGTGGTGATGGTGACGCAACACCATGTGGAGAAACATGAAGAAGCAGCTACAGTTAGTGTTAATCTCACAGCGATGTCGGGCGAGCACTGCTTAGTGCACCGCATGGTGCACATGTTCTTGCACTGCACTTCCATTCACATCCACAAATGTCGTGACATGCGGAATTCGCAGGGGCTTGACGAACGACGTGGCGAACTACAAACAGTAATAGCACTAACCCTGTTGAACCATTCCAACTGCAAAGACGCAAAGATGTCGCTTTAACCCTGCAGTTCTCAATCCTAACCGTCCTAACCGTAACCACCGTCACCTACCCCGGTACATCAAAGGCTGATTCGAGCGAGGGCTCGGCTTCGGCTTGGATTCAGGACCTGTTGGCTCTTGTCTTGACGAGGTTCAGGGCACTTGAAAGCTCTGGAGTTGTGATGCCCTGAATGTCCTTCGAGACGCGTTTCGGCGTTGCCGGGCAGCTGGGCTTCGGGGCTTCGGGAATGATATCGGAAGACGCCGCAAAGAACCAATGAATCCATTCTGCCGTGGAAGCGAAGGCTTAGAGGCTTGGAGTCCCTTCCAATGCCCTATCTATGAGACGAATAATAGTAATAATAGTAACAATAGTAATAATAGTAATAATGATACTAATAATAATAATAATATTTCTGGAGAGTGCGTCGGAATACAGGCCCGTGTTTTTCGAGCGAAATAAGCGATTTTCAGTATCTTTCATGACTCTCAGGCATTTTGGCCTATCTTTACTAAAAAATCAAACACAATGGCCAAGTCTCTTGCAAGTTTATAAACATGCTGAATATCTGTTTATATACAATTGTTGTGCAATAGACATTTGGTTTTGTGTTACCAAG